CTGCTGCAACTTGCACAGTATCATTCTTTTATTTCAAATCACAACCAATTTTGCTATTCTAGTTTCACATACACAATAACCATCACATTTTTTCTCTTTTACAATTTGGTATACTCATAGGGTAGTGCCATATTATAACAAAAATTCAAGCAGCATTGTTCTGTCCTTTTTATCATTTCTCTGCAATCAAATATACTATTAACAGTCTCACTAGTCTTTTGTGGCCATATAATAAGGTGGGATTTCTCAGTGAATTATAACTAAATAACATGTTCTTCTGGGTTTCAATCTGTGAATCAAATGCTTATATTTTAACCATGTTTGCTAGGTGTGATTTTATGTTGTCTCATATTGTTTTATGTTTGGATTTGGGGGTTTCTTAGCTTATGTGTAAGTTAGATGTATTTTGTTAGTTGAGCTGTCTCTCAGCAGGACACTCATTGCTTACAATGAAATAACATCAGACTCTCTCTATATTAGAAGTTCATTTTAACCCACAAATTGAATTGCTTTCTTTTATGAATAAATGTCTTCTTTTCCATTCTATACCCAGGCTTTAGAAATTTTCTTGCAGACATGGCAAGTTGCTGTAGGATTTTTGTGGCAGGCTAATTAAGGCTCTTTCCTCACTTGCGCTCTGGTGCATCAGAGCTGTATTTTAACTCTTGTACATGAAGAGTCACAGCTGGGGATGCAAGCTGTATGGGCCAGATGCCTCTTGGCCTTACTCAGCAGAAGGACTGCTGACTTCAATGAGGTTTTTGCTCAGTTAATGAATGTAAAATGCAACTCCATTTTACTATGGTTTCCGTGAGGACCCTGAATATGCAGGCATTTACACATACACTTAATTTTATGCGTATAGACCCTGATTCATAAGGTAATTAAGCACATGCTCAACTTTAAATACACAAGCATTCTCAGTGAAGTCAGTGAAACAAAGAATGCAAAGAATGCAGTGAAGACATGAGTGTTTCCAACGTTGAAGCTGATTTTCTTTGTGTAGGTAACAGAGAACAGAGGTAGGCTTTTAGGACCTTTTCTCTGTGCCACTACAATCTATAGGCAAAGCAAAGGGGAAATCCATGACTTGACAGGCAAAGTCTGAAAACAACTCAGCAGCATTAAAGTGAATTAAAACTCTCTGAAATATACCCAGATGATCAAAGAAACAGTAGAACACACTTCTAAAAAGGGAGTTATACTTGCCTATTCCCAGTTATTGCTCATAAGCCATACATCAAACTGTTTGACCTTAAAAATATTTGACAGGGACAGAGGAGAGCTATCTGTCCAAAACTTACCTTCTACAGTTTTCTTAGCTTGCTGCTAGAGATTCCGTGGACTTGGACAGCTAGCTTTGAAGGCTCATGGCCAAAATTGTGTCCCTGTGAACAATACAGGGTAGAGGGATATTAATGGGTGCAGAGGATATAGCTTTTCCAAGCTATCCCTGTCAAGGCAGGCTTGTTTGAAAGACTGGGCAGAGCAAGCTCAAAACCACTCCTACACAATTAACCAAGAGCTGCGAGCACTTTTCACCCCACATTCACTGCCATAAGGATCTGGGGACCATGCCCTTCCAACTGCCAACCTCACTGCTGGCTGCCATCTCACCTGCCCGCTAGGCTCTCCAGTCAGGGAGGCATTCATGATGTCTCTCGGCATTTTACTCTGCAAGCGTGTGGCAGTTTACAGGCAGGAGTTGCCTTTACTGCAAGTTCATCCAGCCAGGGTAGTACAGAACAGAACCTTGTCCTTTATATCAGAAGTATATATTTTATATCTACTTTGTAAGCTTCTTCACTCTCACCACACATACAAGCAGAATCTGATATCAACAGGGTATTAGGCTGGTCTACAGACATGTTTGTATGAGTTTATGAGAGCTAAGGAATTCCCAGGTTACTCTGAATACCCACTGATAGAAACTATCTGATTGCAGATAACTTTGCTTAGCTTAGTCCTTGGAGATAACCTTCTACCACTGCCATCCTATTCAATCTTTCACGGACAGGGTATATCATTACTTTCCTCATCTGAAAAGATTCCAGCTAGAAGTAGCTTCCAATCAAAACCAGCTTATTTTGCCAGCATTATGTCACCTCAGAATCCTTTCTTTTCAGAAAGTTACAGACTAAGGATTTAGATACAGCAATACTGGGACAGATTCTCCCTGAACTCAGAAAAACAATCCTAAGAGAGAAATCCACCTATAGAAGGAATGAGCATCAGAAGATCACAAGCAACACACAATTGGTATAACCTTTACCATAGTCATCACCTTTATGGCTGATATAAGGACATGGCTGAGATGACAGGGACCTCCCTAGGATTTTTGAAAGCCTGGTAACCAAACTTTTTCCTCACAGCCCTGCAGGATCTGTGAGGAGAATATATGCCATTTAGAGCAACATTTAAGCTGCTCTAACAGCAGAATCCAAGTGGCTGGTAATTTCTGATTTAGTTCACTTCATAAATGTTCATCAGTGGTTGCTACAGCATGAGGAATGAGGAGGTCTGGAGGACTATCTGGCAGATCACTGCCTATGAGAATCTTCAGCGTTATTCTCCACGTAAGTCTACATCTGTGACAGTGACAATGCTCTCAGGATAACCCAGCACTTCACTGACATTCCATAAAATGAATCATGCATTTCAAATTAATAATGGGGTTTGATCTAAGGAAGAACAAAGCTCAAAACACTTAAAAAGAGAGTGCTTATTGAAGCATTATTTGGGCAATAATAAAAAAATCCCAAGCAATAACAATCAATAACAAACTTTCTTTGCAACAGAATACTTTCCCTTTCCAGTATTTCCCTTTTCCAACAGAATCTGGTTTTGTTGCCCCAAAAAATCCCAACAGTTTGAACTCTGCAAAACAATTCTGAGATGCTTTTCAGCTGTCTCTAACCACATGTAGATACTAGAAGACACAATCAAATAGTTAAATAACAGCTACATGAAAATATTTTATACTTTCTCTTATTTTCTTATTTTATTCTTGCTCTTCAAAGGCATTATCTAAATATCCACTAGTTCAGATACTCTGAAACAGTAACATGATTTAAGATTATATAGCCCAATGTAGACTGACTGCCGAGTTCATTAGTGAATTATTTTAACTGGCGATTAACAACATTTTAAACAAGTAACTCCTAAAATTAGTAGCAGGCAAATTAAATACATACAATATCAGAAGAACTTCAAGTTCTTAAACTTGGAAGTACCACTTACTTCTTCCCGCTCATCAGCTGCACATGCCAAGGGCCTCATTTGGATCAACTTCAGGTCTGTAATGCCTCTGCAGCATTAGATGCCTCAGCCAGACCCAAGAACCACTTGGCTTTATTGAGTTTCTTAGCCATTTTGAAAAGCTTGCTGCTTAGTTTTCTGACAACTATTCTGATTGCTGTAAGAATAGGTCACACAATTTGTTAATGCATAATATTCCCTGCTTATTTTCAATTCCGTACTCTTGGGATTTGTAGGTGAGCCTATGTTACATGTCACGAACATTACTATGATGCAACCCTCCATGAAGCAAGAGACCATGCATGGAGATCAACATGCAGGACTCCTGAAAATTTCATTAGACAGCACTATAGGAAGAACTATTGCAGCTCAGAATAATTCTAACTGCAAATTAAAACCTGTCCCTGGTACTGCCCAAGACTTCCAAGAATTTCCGCTCAGCCATCCCAAAGACATTATTCTTACGTTCTCAGGACCAGAGCCAAGCATCAAGAACCGACACCCCAATCTTCCTTATTCTCTAACTTTTCTTACTAAATAAGGAATAAAACCAGAAATCTTCTTTTTACTAGGTATTCCAGTCCAAATTCTTATTTGTTTCAAAATTCTATTTGAATGTGGCAAGAATTTATTATAAGGCAGCAAAACACCTCATGACCATTGGCTTCCATATTTCTTCCTATCTTTGCAGTTCTAGTTTGTGTCCAGTTTCATAAGCCTGACATCAAATACAACTACACTGTTACTACCAGTAATGTTTTATGTGTAAGAGGGAGCTCTCTATGTATTTTTTTTGTTTGTTTTACTAATTTCCATCTCCCGTGGAAAACAGTCATGAACAGGAAAATCATGTATTATAGAATCATAGAATGGTTTGGGTCGGAAAGGACCTTAAGATCACCTTGTTCCAACCCCCTGCCATAGGTAGACACACTCGACAATGTCATTCAAGACTCCAGGCAGCCTGGCCTTGAAAATTGCCAGGGATAGAGCATTTATCATGTCTCTGGGCAAACTGCTCCAGTGCCTCTGTTAGCGTAAGGACTGACACATAACCACCGGAATGGTTATATGAGGTGCTTTATTGCAGCGCTGGGAAACCAGGGGCACGCGCCCAAATCTGGCTTCGACCTCGTCACATCGCGTTCGCAATTTGTACACTGAAGGTTACATAACTAATACAGATTGCATCATTCACTAATACATATGCATTAAGGATTGCCACATTAGTCTATTATGACATCAGCCTCTTCTGCGCTTGCGCAGCCCCCTCTGGTGGTCGTCCTGATGAAGTAAGGAGTCTTCCTCGGATGAAGTAAGAAGTCTTCCTCGGCTTGTTCTTTTCACCGTTTTGTCCTCTGGACATATCCCAGCCATTATGTGGACGCCAGCATTGTTCTATTTTCCCTTGGCTACCTCTGTTAATTTCTAGGTTCTGCTTGGATAGAATTTCACAATATATCTTTCTAAATTCACCCATACACCCTTCACCATTTATGGTCATATGAGCTCTTGCTACCAAGACTACTATTGTATCACTGGTTACAGGTTAACCACGATACCGGACTGCAAAATTATAGCTCTTTCTACTCTACAAAATCACACTATTGATTTATAAACCTCTCAAATATAGTCGTTCCTACCATTGTATATGATTATTTATCTTAAAAACTTCACTCTTTTCTAACAGTTCCCCCCTTTGAAAATACTTCACTCAATTTAAGTTAAGTATTTTCATTCCCTTAGGTAGCTGTTTCCTGATAAATAGGAGGAGGTGTGGGAGAATTTGGATGTTGTTTAGTTACTGCTCCTATAATTCGATGGGTCCATGCATAGCTCCGGGCTATTTCCTTTCGAATACAAAAAAACATCAGATATAACATTAAAAACATGATCATCATTACAACTACAGTTTGCAAGAAGGAACGGATCCATCCAGTAAGGTGAAGGCCTAAACTATCAAAGAGTGCTCCAATCCAATTTTGTTCAATATATTTTCTTTCTCTTTCCGCTTCTTGTTCCACTTTGGTCAGCTGGGAAATATCATATTCTATGTTTGCAGTTACATTAGGAATGTGAACACAACAATGATCTATTCTATCCTTTAAATATCCACAAACACCATGTTCCTTGAGTAAAAACAGGTCTAATGCCATTCTGTTTTGCAAAGTCATTTTAGTTGTTGCTTGTAATTGATTTTTGAGAGACTTCGTCTACCTTTTTCCAGATTATTCTTACTGACATTAATCCTATTGGAGTGGTGTTAGTAAACCTGAAGATCAGAGTGGCATTTTGCCCGACAAACTGTGTTAAAACATCTGTTTTTTGCGTGATTTCCAGAAAGGGGACAACCGTCAATGGTATTAGTATCCAGACAATAACCACAATCTTATAGAAAAATCTAGACATTCTGTTTACATTTCAGTTTAAATTTTGTGGGACTCAATATCTGTGATTCCCAGACTTTCGGGACCTTTTTCACTCATGTATAATGTATCCAAGAGTCCACCCCTTCTACCTTTACTGCAGTGAACGTCATTAACAGTACTTGACGAGGTCCGTCCCACCGCTCTTTTAACAGCTCTTTACTCCAGTTTCGGATGCATACTTGATCTCCTGGCTGAATATCATGCACTGGATTCTCCAAGGACAATGGCCTGTTCCACACCAGGGTGCTTCTTAGTCTGGTTAGGGTTCTACCTAGAGATAGCACATAATTATAAACATCCTGATTTCTTTTAATGTGGGGATTAGGATTAGGCTCTGGTGCCTCATATGGTTTTCCATAGAGGATTTCGTAGGGGCTTACTGACATTCCACTTCTAGGTTTTATTCTGATTCGTAACAAGGCTATGGGCAGTGCCTGTGGCCACTTTATTTTAGCCTCTTGACATATTTTGCTAACTTGTCTTTTTATTGTCTGATTCATCTTTTCCACCTGCCCACTAGATTGAGGCCTCCAGGGGGTATGCAAATTCCATGTTATTCCTAATAATTTACTTATTTCTTGTACTATTGTTGCAATAAAGTGTGGGCCTCTATCTGATGACATTCCCAAAGGAACACCAAATCTTGGAATGATTTCTTTGAGCAACCACTTCACCGTCTCTTTTGCCTGATTAGTGCGACAGGGAAGGGCCTCCGGCCATCCAGAAAAGGTGTCGATCCCTACTAATAGGTATTTATACCCTTGTGCCTTTGGTAATTCCACAAAATCAATTTGCCAATAATCTCCTGGTTCCATCCCTATTCTGGTCCTTCCCATTTCAACTTGCCTCCTCACTATCGGATTATTTTTCAAACAAATCTCACATTTTGATCCCACTGATTTTGCCATAGTTAACATCTGTGTGGAAATTATTCCTTGTCTTAGATAAGTTACCAATGCTTCTGCACCCCAGTGACACTTATGATGTTCAGTCTGTAGAAATTTCCACATTATTGCCGGTGGCACTATCACTTGTCCAGTTGTTGTTACATACCATCCCTCAGAGTTCTTTTGAACTCTTAAAAGTCCTGCCAATTTCTCATCCTCCGCTGAATAGTCTGGATTCTGTGAGAGATAGGTATGGAATGGGCTTACCTTGAGAGGTATCAGTGCCATCATATTCCATACCTTCCGGGCCACCTGTCGAGCTGTTCGGTCTGCCAATGTGTTTCCTTCAGATATCTTTGAAGTTCCTCCTTGATGTGCTTTGCAATGCATAACGGCCACCTGTTTAGGCTGTTTCCATAATGCTCCATGAATATGCACTACACCAAATGCATATTTTGAGTCTGTCCATACATTTACCTTTTTGTCGTTGCTCAGTTCTAGTGCTCTTGTGAGAGCTATCAGTTCTGCCCGCTGGGCTGATGTCCCTGGAGGTAATACTTTGGCTTCGATTACCTCTTGCAGTGTCGTTACAGCATATCCTGCATATCGTGTTCCGTTCTCCACAAAACTGCTTCCATCTGTGAAGAGTTCCCAGTCTGGTTGTTCAAGAGGTGTATACTTCAGGTCTGCTCTGGTTGCATATGTATGTTCGATGACTTCTATACAGTTATGTTCAAGCATCTCTCCTTCTAGATCTGCTCCTAAAAAGGCTGCTGGATTTAACAGGTTAGTAGTCTTTAAACTCATGTCATCTTGTTCTGTTAAAATTGCTTGATATTTCATCATTCTGCTAGGAGATAACCAGTACCCCCCTTTTTGTTCTAAGATGGTTGTTACCATATGTGGCACAAACACTTCAATGTGTTTTCCCAAAGTCAGTTTCCTGGCCTCCTGTATCAAAACAATAGTAGCTGCTACTGCCCTCAAGCATGCAGGCCACCCTGCACTTACCGGGTCCAGTTGTTTTGAGAAATATCCTACTGGTCTTTTCCAGCTTCCAAGTTTCTGAGTCAACACTCCCAGTGCTAGTCTCTGTCTCTCATGGACAAATAATTGAAAATCCTTTGTCAGATCTGGGAGTCCTAGTGCTGGAGATTTCATTAACGCTTTTTTCAGTTTCCTAAAGGCCTCTTTCTGTGTTTTGTTCCAAAGACAGGTGATTTCTGGGCTTCATATAGGGGTTTAGCAATGAGTCCATAGTCCATTATCCATAATCTGCACCACCCTGCCATGCCCAAAAATGTTCTTAGTTCATGTAAGTTCCGTGGTTCTGGAATGGCACAAATCGCCTCTATGCGATTTATTCCCAGTTTTCGCTGCCCTTGTGATATTTCGCATCCTAAATACAACACAGTCGTGCATGCAATTTGTGCCTTTTCCTTTGAAACCTTGTACCCGTTCAAACCTAATTGGTTTAAAATTTCAATGGTTACCTGTATACACAGTGACTCTTGTTCCGTTGCAATAAAGATATCATCAACATATTGCAATAGGAGATATTGTGATCTCGGTACCTGTACTTTTCCTTGAGTGGTCCACACTTCCAGTTCTTTGGCTAGCTGGTTCCCGAAGAGTGTCGGACTGTTCTTGAATCCCTGTGGGAGTCTGGTCCATGTTAATTGTGTCTTTTGTCCATTTTGTGGGTTTTCCCATTCGAATGCAAACAATTTTCTACTATTTTTGTCAAGAGGAATGCAGAAGAAGGCATCTTTTAAATCAATCACTGTAAACCATTTATACTTTTCCTTCACAGATGTTAACAATGTATAAGGGTTTGCGACCACTGGGTAGATATCTTTTGTTATCTCATTTATGGCCCTCAAATCCTGGACCAACCTATACTCACCATTAGGTTTCTTTACTGGAAAAATTGGGGTGTTATACTCTGATTCACATTCCTCTAGAACTTGATGTCTCAAAAATTTTTCAATTGTTTTTATAATGCCATATCTTGCTTCTAGTTTCAGGGGATATTGTTTAACTCTTACTGGCCTAGCTCCATCCTTTAATTCCACTATTACTGGTTGAGCAGTTTTTGATTTTCCTGGAATTTCTGTTTCCCAAACTGTCAGTATTGCAGTTCGTTCTACCTTCTCCGGAATCCAGGCCATGGGTTTATTTTTCAAAACCAAAATTTGTCCTGCCTTCGATTCCGGGACCTGCATGGTTAATTCACCATTTTCAAGAACAACTGTTGCGTCCAATTTAGCTAATAAATCTCGTCCTAAAAGTGGAACAGGACATTCAGGCATATACAAAAATTCATGTGTCAATTCTTTCCCCCCAAAAAGCAAGTCTAGGGGTCGTAGGAATGGCCGTGTTTCCTCCTTCCCTGTGGCTCCTACAATTGTAGTTGTTTTCTTTCCTAACCTTCCATGCAAATAATTTAAAACTGAATAGGTAGCCCCTGTGTCCACTAAAAATTTTATTTCTTCCTCTCCTAATTGTATTTTTACAAGGGGCTCCTTATTCTTTGTTTTGGTTAGTCAACTTTGATTATTATACTCCCCCAGCACCATTGCCTGAGCTGTCTCCGATCCCACAAAGGGGTTCCTTGGGGACATAAATTGTCTTCCCTTTAATGGACATTCATTTTTCCAGTGTCCCTCCTGCTTGCAGTTTGCACACTGATTATATCCTATTTTTGCCATATTCATTTCTACACTCGGATTATAGAATCCTCTTCTTCATCCTCATCCCCGCATACTTCCTCTCCCCCTTCCCCTCGGATTAGAAAAACTTTGTTCTCTCCCCTGGATTGCTGCCAACAAATTCTGCTGCTGATTGTTTTCAGGTAAATAAATCTCCAGGTGAGAAGGGTACTTTAATGCACACCGGTCCTTCTGTTCCAACTCCCTGTCTTAAAGGCACAAGCACTCCTCTGGACGTCTGAGTCTGCTCTTTTCTCTTTTATTTCCCCTCTGGCGAGTTCTGTGCAAGACTGGGGTAATGGGGAGACTTGCTTTCTGATCTCTTTTACACTCGCAACTATTCAGACTCTCGAGATCACTATCACTCATCTTCTCCCCCCCCTTTCTTCATTTAATGCTGGCGGGGCTGACGGAGCGACTGACAAATCCAAACTTTCAATATCCCTCCGGTGTTGTAAGCTATTGTCTAAAACAAGGCACTTCATACATTTTCTCAGTAACACATTCCTTACACTGTTCATTAACATTTACCTTTACAACCATTATTTCATGAGATTTTTGCCACTCATCATTATTTCTTAAAGAAAAGAATTACCTTGGGACCTTGTCCCATTTTTCTTTCCTGTTATAACATCAACTACAGTATAGTATTATACTGTTAAGTCCCATTTTTCAGGCCATTTCTCCTGATCCCCCAGTTCATACTGTGGCCACCATACATTACAATAATTAATTAATTTGCTTTTCAGCATACTCTGCCCAAATCCACCCTCCTTCCAATGGCTTAAAATACAGCCTAATGGAGAGGATTTGGGAAACGACAGCAATTTTTTTTTCTTTTTTCTCTTTTTCTTTTTTTTTTCCTTTTTTTTTTCCCTTTTTCTTTTTTTCTTTCCTTTTTCCTTTTGTTTTTCCTTTTTTCTCTTTTTCTTTTTTCCTTTTTGTTTTTCCTTTTTTTTTCCCTTTTTCTTTTTCTTTTTTTCGCCTTTTTTCCTTTTTCTTTTCTTTTTTTCTCCTTTTTTCTCTACTTCACACACACCACACACTCACCACTAAGTTACAACATTTAGACAGACAGATGCTGATCCTGCAGCACAAATACCAATACCAATACCAATACCACTTCTGCCGAACCTGCAGAGCTTTCGCTACTGTCTAACGGACGGCGCCTAGGCTTTTACCCCGGGAGCTCCCTAGCCCCAACCAAGCGCAGCTTTCGCCACGTCTAACAGGCAGGCTTTACCAAATCAGACTTCGCGAGGCCAGATGCAGCTTTCACCGCATCTCTCTGGTAGACTTTTTGAAGCCAAAGTTTCACCAAACCAAGCAGGCTTCGCCTACAGCCAAGCTTATCAGAAGTCTATACCCTTACACTTTACCAAAATTCGGTACCATAATTACCAAACCGTATGAAAATTTGGTACCTTAATTACCAAACCACACAAAAATTCGGTACCATAATTACCAAACCATACTTTACAAAATTGGCACTGTGACCGAATCAGAAAAAAAGAAAAAGCACCTTTCCTTACCATATCAGAGGTCCGTCGTGAGCAGCGGAGGTCGGTCGCGGTCGATGGCTCCCCGAGAATCTCTCGGTGCCGGCTGGCGCAGGACCGAAACGCGATCCGCCTCGGCAATGCCCGCGAGGTCCCATCTGGGTCGCCAAAATGTTAGCGTAAGGACTGACACATAACCACCGGAATGGTTATATGAGGTGCTTTATTGCAGCGCTGGGAAACCAGGGGCACGCGCCCAAATCTGGCTTCGACCTCGTCACATCGCGTTCGCAATTTGTACACTGAAGGTTACATAACTAATACAGATTGCATCATTCACTAATACATATGCATTAAGGATTGCCACATCAGTCTATTATGACATCAGCCTCTTCTGCGCTTGCGCAGCCCCCCTCTGGTGGTCGTCCTGATGAAGTAAGGAGTCTTCCTCGGATGAAGTAAGAAGTCTTCCTCGGCTTGTTCTTTTCACCTTTTTGTCCTCTGGACATATCCCAGCCATTATGTGGACGCCAGCATTGTTCTATTTTCCCTTGGCTACCTCTGTTAATTTCTAGGTTCTGCTTGGATAGAATTTCACAATATATCTTTCTAAATTCACCCATACACCCTTCACCATTTATGGTCATATGAGCTCTTGCTACCAAGACTACTATTGTATCACTGGTTACAGGTTAACCACGATACCGGACTGCAAAATTATAGCTCTTTCTACTCTACAAAATCACACTATTGATTTATAAACCTCTCAAATATAGTCATTCCTACCATTGTATATGATTATTTATCTTAAAAATGTCACTCTTTTCTAACACCTCACCACCCTTACAGTAAAGAACTTCTTCCTTATATCTAATCTTAACTTCCCCTGTTTAAGTTTGAACCCATTAACCTTTGTCCTATTGCTACAATCCCCGATGAAGAGTCCCTCTTGAGCACCCTTACAGGCCCCCTTCAGATACTGGAAGGCTGCTATGAGGTCTTCACACAGCTTCTCTTCTACAGGCTGAACAGCCTCAACTTTCCCAGCCTGTCTTCAAATGGGAGATGCAACAGCCCCCTGATCATCCTCATGGCCTCCTCTGGACTTGTTCCAACAGTTCCATGTCCTTTTTATGTTGAGAACACCATAACTGTACACAATACTCGAAGTGAGGTCTCATGAGAGCAGAGTAGAGGGGCAGGATCACCTCCTTCCACCTGCTGGTCACGCTTCTCTTGATGCAGCCCACGACATGGCTGGTTTCTGGTCTGTGAGCGCACACCGAAGCCAGCTCATTTTCTCATCGACCAGCACCCCCAAGTCCTTCTCCGCAGGGCTGCTCTGAATCTCTTCTCTGCCCAACCTGTAGCTGTGCCTGGGATTGCTCCGACCCAGGTGTAGGACCTTGCACTTAGCTTGGTTGAACTTTATGGGCATCAGCCCACCTCACAAGCATGTCTGGGTCCCTCTGGATGGCATTCTTTCCCTCCAGCGTATCAACTGAACCACAAAGCTTGGTGTCATCAGCAAACTTGCTGAGGATGCACACAATCCCACTGTTCATGTCAGTGACAAAGATGTTGAACAAGATCAGAAGAGCAGTCCCAACACCGGGCCCTGAGGGACATCACTCTTTACTATCTATCATACTACCTGTCTACATTTATTAACAGAATAAAACTCTGCTTCCTTTTCTTCAAAAACATCACTGAAATAGCTTCCCTTTTTCATGACCTTCATATTCGTACTGATTAGACAGAATTTACTGAGGTTTTTCTGTTGTGATGCCTAACATCTTTATGTTCCAAAAAAAGGGGAAGGCAGAAAGAAATCCACAGAGAACAGGTGAAACACTGTTGAAAATGTTTTCCAGCTCACCAGGTCTCATTTATTTCCCTTCTCATTGTTTGGGACAACTTTGCTCATTGCATGAAAAATCTAAGGGCTCGCTTTGACCTTAGCAACAACTTTCTTAAAGATTTCTTAGTGCTCCTGTTATTTTAAATCTTAACAAGTAGCTGAACTCTAATGTCTTTCTCTCTACTAATACAAAACCCAGAATTATCTGCCAGTTGGTTTAAGGATTTAAAATTCTTAAAAGATTTGCTGTTAATATTTCATAATACTTTTGGGAACAAAATCCCTTAAAAAAATAGACTATCACCTTCTGCAATGAAATCAAATAATATAAATACTTTGCTTGCCATCTTTTTTGCACAACTAAATAAATAGACTAGAGTCCACAGCTCTGTTTCCAGCTCTCCTTTGACACAAGCAGTGCCTGAGACTTAAAACTGGAAGTCTGCCAGAGCTTTGAACTGTTCCTTTTTCTCCTGCTTGGGTGATTCAGTGCTTGCTATTGAAGATAAAGAATTACAGAGAGGTGGTTTGCTTCACAGGCTGAAAAGAGGGAGGGTGTAGGTATTTGGTTGTTTTGGAGTGGGGGTGAGGGGGTGTTGTTTCTTTGTTGTGGTTTTTGATTGTTTCTTTCTTTGGTGTTTTATTGAGGTTTTCCTGTTTGTTTGGTTTGGTTTGCTTGTTTTTAACAGACTGTAAGAAAATGAATCTTTATCCCTTGAAGTCATGTCTCTGCCCTCTCTTGGGCTCCTTGGTCTTTTTGGTTTTTACCTTTATTTAAAGAGTATATGTAGCATCAAATAAGAAATGGGAGACTGAAACTTAGAAAAATGGAAGCTTTTCCAAGGAAATCCAATAAACACGTATTTACAATGCAGACAGTTCTAAGCCACCTTGTTGAGCACCTTTAAATTCACCTTTATGCTGCTAATCCAGCATACCAAAACAGATGAGACATGCCAGCAAACTGAACCACAAAGGAGTTTCACAGTATCACAGAATCACAGTATGTTAGAGATTGGAAGGGACCTCAAAAGATCATCTAGTCCAATCCCCCTGCCGGAGCAGGAACACCTAGAGAAGGTTACACAGGAACGTGTCCAGGCAGGTTTTGAATGTCTCCAGAGAAGGAGACTCCACAACCTCCCTGGGCAGCCTGTTCCAGTGTTCTGTCACCCTCACTGAGAAGGTTTCTTCTCAAGTTTAAGTGGAACCTCTTGTGTTCCAGTTTGTACCCATTGCCCCTTGTCCTATCATTGTTTGCCACTGAGAAGAGCCTGGCTCCATCCTCGTGACACTCTCCCTTTATATATTTATATACACTAATAAGGTCACCCCTCAATCTCCTCTTCTCCAAACTATAGAGACTCAGCTCCCTCAGTCTTTCCTCATAAGGGAGATGCTCCACTCCCTTAATCATCTTAGTTGCCCTGCGCTGGACTCTCTCCAGCAGGTCCCTGTCCTTCTTAAACTGAGGGGCCCAGAACTGGACACAATATTCCAGATGCGGTCTCACCAGGGCAGAGTAGAGGGGAAGGAGGACCTCTCTCGACCTACTAACCACCCCCCTTCTAATACACCCCAGGATGCCATTGGCCTTCTTGGCCACAAGGGCACAGTGTCGGCTCATGGTCACCCTGTCGTCCACTAGGACCCCCAGGTCCCTCTCCCCTACACTGCTCTCTAACAGGTCGTTCCCCAACCTATACTGGAACCTGGGGTTGTTCCTGCCCACATGCAGGACTCTACACTTTCGCACAGTATCACAGTATGTTAGAGATTGGAAGGGACCTCAAAAGATCATCTAGTCCAATCCCCCTGCCGGAGCAGGAACACCTAGATAAGGCTACACAGGAACGTGTCCAGGCGGGTTTTGAATGTCTCCCCTTGTTATATTTCATCAAATTATTCCCCGCCCAACTCTCCAGCCTGTCCAGGTCTCGCTGGATGGCAGCACAGCCTCATGGCGTGTCGGCCACCCCTCCCAGCTTAGTGTCATCAGCAAACTTCCTGATAGTGCACTCAATTCCCTCATCTAAATCATTGATGAATATATTAAATAATACTGGTCCCAGTACCGACCCTTGAGGCACTCCACTAGATACAGGCCTCCAACTAGACTCCGCCCCATAGACTACAACTCTCTGGCTTCTCTCCTTCAGCCAGTTCACAGTCCACCTCACTACCACATCCAGACCACACTTCCTCAATTTAGCTGTGAGGATGCTGTGGGAGACTGTTTCAAATGCTTTGCTGAAGTCAAGGTAGACCACATCCACCGCTCTGCCATCATCCATCCACCATGTTATTTCCTCATAAAAGGCTATGAGATTGGTCAAGCATGACTTCCCCTTGGTGAAGCCATGTTGACTGCCCCTCATAACCCTCTTATCCTTGATATGCCTTAAGATGGCACCAAGGATAAGGTGTTCCATCACTTTCCCAGGAATGGAGGTGAGGCTGATGGGTCTATAGTTGCCCGGGTCCTCCCTCTTGCCCTTTTTGAAGACGGGAGTGACATTTGCTTTCCTCCAGTCCTCAGGCACCTCTCCCGTTTCCCAAGACTTGGTAAAGATGATGGAGAGTGGTCTAGCAATGACCTCCACCAGTTCCCTCAGCACCCACGGGTGCATCCCATCTGGACCCATGGATTTATGGATGTCCAGATTGCTCAACTGGTCTGTAACCCATTCCTCATCGACTAAGGCAAACTGCTCCGTTGACCTGTCTTCATCTGAGGTCTCAGCGGTACAGGGCTCTTCAGGACTGCCTCCGGCAGAGTAGACAGAGACAAAGAAGGCATTCAGTAACTCTGCCATCTCTGTATCTTCTGTCACCAGGGCACCCGTCCCGTTCATCAGTGGGCCTACATTGCCTCTGGTGTTAGTTTTATCTGCCATGTATTTGAAAAAGCTCTTTCTGCTGTCCTTGACCCTTCTCGCCAGCTTTAATTCCAAGGAGGCCTTAGTCATCCTAGCTGCTTTCCTACATCCTCTAGCAGCAGTCTTATATTCTTCCCAAGTGGCCAGCCCTTCCTTCCATGACCTGTAAACTCTTCTCTTCCACTTCAGCATACCCAGTTTCTGTCAATATACCCAAGCCTCTAAAAACTAGCTTAGTGGCCTATTTTTACTTTACATCTTTGACAGACATAAACCAGACTTATTTGGTCCAGTATATGCAAATATGTTAGCAAATACCAGTGCCTTTCAGATTTCAAAGCATGTATTTTCTTGTGCTGTTTTTCACATAGTCTAGCCTCAGATAAAGGCATCAGTAATTTTGACTTGATTACACTAT